GCCCGACCAAGGTTTGGCATTTCTAGTAAGCTTCCAGGGGATGTTGATACTGCTATGCAGGGACCGTGCTTTGAGTAGCAAAGATTCCAACAACATTAGAGAGAGAAGACCACAGCCCCTGGAGAAATGGAAGCAGGGACAGGTGAAGTCAAGTCCCAAGTTACGTGAGTCCACTTGGCTGTTCAGAAGAGCCCACCAAGAATTATTGAGAGTGGCAGTAGGCACCTATCTTTCCTGACAGCTGATGCTAAATGCCCTGCAGGGTCCACACTCTTGGGTGCCCTTTTAGGCTCAAACTAAGAGTTGCTTCCTGAGGGCTCTGCATTCACTTCTCCTACTTCATGACCTAGGGAACTGCAGCGTCCTGAGTTTGCTTGAATTCTGTTCCAGTGGCTGCTGTGAAGGGTTGGGAAGCTTCTCTATAGACTCTGGCCTGTCTGCAGGGCTGTCTGAGCCAGATGACCTCATTAGCAAGTGGGCCCTTTGTGTACCTCTGTGTACCTCTGTTCCTATTAAACGGATGAAGCAACTGAGGTAACAGAAAGAATGGCAACTCATCCACACTCACACCCCAAGTCCAGAGTGACAACTGCCACTCTACAGCCTAACCCCTTGGCCATCCTCCCACCTACTTTCTGACCAGGGACATGCCATGTCACCACACTGTCACCTCTTCATACCTACAAGGGTGGATCTCTGAATGTAACACCTCAAAGCTTATACGTCACCTGGGGACAAGAGTATACACATTGTCCTTCTCCGCAAAACTCCCACCCAGCCACTACCCCACATGAGATCAGTCTTATGCCAGAGGGCCTCAATGTAGAGTCTACAAGTTGACACCATTGGTTTTTTACCTTCAGGACAAGAATGGTCCGGTTTTCAAAGCTGTTGCCAATGTGAATTTTTGAGACAATATCAGAATGCTCCATTACAAAGTTGTCAATCCAGCTATATATCTGAAAGGAAAGAAGTGTGTAAGATTGGCAATTACACAGGATGAACACCACGGCCTCTCTGAATGTTCTCTGTGCCCCTTCCCACTCTCCTCAATGCTTTCCCACCTCCTCAGAGAATCTAAAAGAACACAGATAAAGAATTGCAAAAGTAGAGCATTCCCTCAGAGCTAAAGGAAGTGAGTTGTGGTCTTGCTGGATTCCCAGGCTCCTTGCTCTGTGCCTTTGCCTGGGAGAACAATGTGTGCTGAGTCTGCTCAAATCCCCAGGCTCGACCCACACGGCTCTCTCTGGTTGGAAATTCTCTCTCTTGCCTCCATTCTTTGGCCTATTCAATCCATTTGACAGATCTCACAGACCATGTAGTGTTGTTTTTATCTTCTTGCTCCTTTTAGACTGTAAGGCCCTTGAAGGCAGGGTTCTTGTTTTATTTATCTTTGGTATCAATAAATAGTGACAGACTGTATTATTTCATTCTCTTGTTCTTTCAATACAGGGAATTGAATTAACAAATATATGAAAGAAAATGTGAAGTGGGAAAAGTGATTATGATAATGGATGGATGATATCAATAATGTTATGTCCTTGACACGCAAAATGAGACCCGTGCCTTGAGTTCCTTTCTGGAGTGGGCATCCCTGCACCCTCCGTGTTCATTCTTCTTTATAAACAAGTCGCAATTAGCTATACCTGCCCTGGCTGACTGTAACTATGATCATGAATTTTCTCCAAGTGAAGGCACTCCCTTTTATTCTAAAAATACGGCTCTCCAATTTCCCTGGCTTCCTGCCCCTCATATATACCCCAGCACCCACAGCTGGGGCCATGAACACCACGGCTGGTCATGGACAGGCTGAGAGCCCTAGGTCCCCAGCCATAGGATTAGATGTGTGTAAGAGTTAAAGAAAGAGGAAAGAAACACAAAATGCAGCTTAACAGTCAGGTTTATTTAAGAGAAATAAACCTGAGAGGGGCTTCTGGTTAATTTTTGTCCATTTTATAACTATAAAGACTGGATTTAGGCAGTTTTTTAACCTCGGGAAACTTAGAATTGTAATGTTTGTTCAAGATGATGATGTTCCTGCTCTGTCAAGATGAAGGTAGCTTCTACCTGCTCTATTCTGGCCCATAATGGGTCCCTGCCTAGGAGACCCATTACTCTGCTGTGTTCCTGCCTAGGGCTATACAGCTGAACTACTGTCCCCTCTATCTGAATCCTGGCTTCTGGACCCGTTTGAAGCTGACTCTCTGCCTAGCAGACCTAATGTCTACTGTACAGTCCCCAAGTGTCAGTCACAGTCTCCCATAAACCCTAGAGTCCTTCACTAGCTTCTGCCTGAGTCAGAAGACCCTAAGGAGCCCAAAAATATGAGAGAGCCCAGAGCTTCCCTGGGCAGACCTACTTCCTCCAGGTTGTGGTATGCGGAGTAACTGAAGCTGCTGGTGCTGCGCTCCAGCCGGCGGGATTTTGCCATGGCCTCTCTTTCTTCATCCAGCAGCACCTGGGTAATGAAGAACACATATTGGAAAGGAAGGGGAGAGCTGGGCTGGCTATGCCTCTTCTGAGCCCTGCCTCTGGCTGTGCATAAAGACAGCAGCAACACAGGAGAATGAGCCACCCTGAGTGTGAACTACACAACACAAGGAAGCTCGTTTGCTGAGTGACTCTTCTACCTGGCAAACTAGCAGTCATGCTGTCATTTCCCAAATGAGCACAGGACAAGGAGTCCAGAGAGCTGGGTTCTAGGTCTGCCTCTACCACTAACTGGCTACGGAACTTGCTGTGGCCTTAGTTTCCTCTGCCTGAAAATTTGGAAAGCAATATCTGCCTTGCCACCTCATAGGATAAAATGTAATCATGGATTTGAAGGTGCTTTTTGGGGGGAAAAAAGAGGTGCTCATGGTCTACTGCCAACATTCCTTTTGCACCTGATAAACACTCTGTTGATTCAGGACCCTAGCTGGACCATGTGCACTGACCCCCTGGAAGAAGCAGAGGGTTCCTCTGACCCCCAACGTTAATTCCACTTCCAGGAAATAGCCTAGACAACCGGTATGCAAGCCATTCAGAATGCCAGGCATGGCCAAAGTCAGTCCAAATCATTATGATTCATGTGCCAGTGGTCTTTCACTCACCTCCTAAACATGTCTGGGTGAGCCAAAAGCAATGTCCTTGGGTATCAACATGGAGTCAGCATTCAAACCTTACATGGTACTTCCTGCTGCCCATACAGAGGACAGTGTAGTGCCTGGTTGGCTTGACCACTCACTCACTGCTCAGACCAGCAACATCATCTTGGGACATTTTTCCCTGCTTGGGTCACAGTGAGATGAGCTAGTGTCCTTTACCCAAACTCATGCCCTTACATCAGCATCCAGAGACCAAGGCACCCCAGGTTTCTGCACCAACTGTCCAGTGTGGGAAGTACCTGGGTCCTTTGCCACAGAGGACGCTGAGAAAGCATCCTCTTTATCTGTTGTTAATCCTCAACATTAACCCAAGTTGCCCTTCCTTCGCAGCACTGGGCCACAACTAAATCTTGCCAATTACTTATTTGGGGCTAGAGCCTTAGTTGACCAAGCTTCTTTATCTTCACTATCTCACTTGATCTGATCAGATGACCCAATAACAGGACAGAAATGAGCTATTTGTGTTAGCGCTAAAGCAGATTGGAGAGGTAAAGGGACTTAATGGCAAAGCTAACAAGTGGCAGAGGTGAGATGAGAACCAGTTATCCTAGTCTGTAGCCTTGGGTTCCTTAAGGCCAACTATCAAAACTAAAGGCCAACACTAATAACATATATACAGGCTGGGCATGGTGGCTCACACCTGTAATCCCAGCACTTTGGGATAGGATTGGGGTAGGAGGATAGCTGAAGCCCAGGAGATTGAGAACAGCCTGGGCAACAAAGGGAGACCCTGTCTCTATAAAAAATTAAAACTGAAAAATTAGCCAGGCTTGGTGATGTGTGCCTCTAGTCCCAGCTACTTAGGCTGAGGCAGGAGGATTGCTTGAGCCTGTGAGTCAGAGGCTAGAGTGAGCTATGATTGAGAGTAAGTTATGATCGCACCACTGTACTCTAGCCTTGGCAATGGAGCAACACTCTATTTCTAAACACACGCACACACAAACACACACACACAAACACAAACACACATACACAGATATGTTTGTGCGTGTGTGCATGTGTGTGAACAGAAAGAGCATGCAAATGTTAACAACAACTAAAAACTCCACTGTACTATTTTTGCAATTTAGAAGTTTTTTACAATAATGAAAAATCAAAGACCCCTGAACATAAGAACACAAGACACTAAAATGCCAAGAATATAGACAAAAATGTTCACAATGCCTGCTAAGATAGAAGAAGGCGAATTTTGAGTAAATCTTTTCTCTATTTTTACATTTTGGCAATGTGCTTATCCTACTTCAATAAGTAGGAACTTTTAAATGAATAAATAACAGCCGAAAGGCTACTGTGTGTAAGGTCTTTTAGGCTGACTGATGGTGCCATGGATGCTATGGCGACCCCCATGACCCACACGGACACCTCTGGAGGGCCTTCTGGAATTAGAAAACCTAAAGTAACTAGAAGACCATGAAAAACAGAAGAACGATTAACCCCTGCGGTGCCTAAGTAACTTGCGACGTTCTTCTATTGTTTTTTATTCCAGCCCCAATCACATTGGACTTCGTAACCAACCTTGGTCAACCTTGTGACTCCAGACCCTATGACCCCCTCCCACCTTGCAAGCCTACAACCCCCTCCCTGCTTGCAAAAAGTCCACCCTAAACTGTAACTTCTGTAACTTTCCACTGCTTACCCCAAACCTATAAAACCAACTCCTATCCCACCGCCCTCCGCTGACTCTCTTTTTGGACTCAGCCCACCAGCGCCCGGATGAATAAACAGCCATGTTGCTCACACAAAGCCTGTTTGGGGCGTTTCTTCATTCAGAGCGTGCATTTTAACACTGCGGAGTCTTCCTTCCCGCCCCACCTGCCGTAGATTAGGCACAGCCTAATGACTCACTCATCCCCAAGGCCTAGTGGGCTCACTTAGAATGCTCAAGTCCGTAGATTTCAAAATGGGACTGGAAATTGATGTTTGGGGCTCACTTTATGTTTAAGCACCGACTCCATGCAAGGCAATTACAGTTGCCATGTTTTCCAGCTGTACTGGCCGGCGGCGGGCACAGCTGGGATCGCTGGGTAAGTTAGATATGGCTGGAGGAGCGCTGTCCTCTCTGGCCATTGGCAGTCACTTCTGGGAAGCTCTAACAAAAGGAATTTGTCTTCTTCCTAGGAAGCTGACCTAAATCTCAACAGCCTACCATGACCAATGTGTGCCAGCCGCTGTGTGCCTGGCGCCATCAGCTGTGACGAGCAGCTGCAAGGAAGACAGCGGCCTGCCAGCCATGAGGACAAGGTAAAGGGTCTCCAGGGATCTCGTAGAAGCCTGGAGTGGGGGTGGAAGTGGAGGACAGGAAGGAAAAATTGGGGAAAAAAGGACTAGAGGACCCAATTCTCCCCAAACAGCCCCGGGACACCCACAGGAAGCCAAGACCCAGGAGGCTGTCCCTTCTTCCGCACAAGAGCTTGGAGGCAAATGGAAAGTCAGCACCAAACGGCAAATAACTTTTCAGACACCCTCACAGCCTTGTGAATGGAGGTGACACCCACTTTCCAACTGGGAATCCTCAGCCCCCACAGCTGGCCCTACTCCCAGGAGCATGAATCTGCTTTGGCCTGGAAACCGCACCAACGTTTGCTCCATGCGTGGGGCCAAGGGAAGGGGATGACAGAGGGAAGAATGTAGTCTGGCCACAGGCTGAGGAATGCCTAATGACAGCCCTGTCAGGCTTCTCAGGAAAAAATAACAAAACAAAGAACCCAACCAACTCAGAAGTAAGCCATCTGCCTCCCTGGAAGGCCTAACCTGACAGAGAAAGTAATACCTCAGTGTGAATTAATTTACGATGAGTCAGGAAGGATGGGGACCCTCGAGGGAAGAACAGCCCTCCCGGGCTGAGCAGGGGAGGAGGCAGGGGGGCCCCAGCACTGAAGCTGAGGCGGGGGAGAGCAGGATTTCTCACAGCCCAGCTCCAACCACAGATGCAAAATGGACACAGCTCCTGGAAACAGCATGGGTTGGGGGCTCCGGGACAGCGGCCACGGCCTCTCCTCCCATGCTCCCGGCCTTCTCTTCCAGGCCTAACATCTGCAGTAGAAGCTACATGGCCAGTAGCAACTCCAGTCCCGTGGCCCTGGATGTGTGGGGTGGCTGCTGATCTGATGTTTTCAGAATGGACCTCCTCAGAGGTCAAGGCCAAGCCACAAGGCTTCCCTGTCCAAAAGGCAAAGTTAAAATGCCACACAAACAACAGTGATGACCACTAAGGAGACAGATGGCTTGAGAGTGGAGTCTGAGGGTGCGGGAGCTCAGGCTAACCCCTATCCTGCCACCAACTCCAGCAAATTACTAACTTCTCTGTGCCTCAGTTTCCCCTTTGCAAAATGAAGGTTATATTATCACATACTTTAGCACATACTTTAAAATGGTCTCATGAGGGCTCGGCATGGTGGCTGACACCTGTAATCCCAGCATTTTAGGAGGCCGGGGCAGGTGGATCACTTAAGGCCAGGAGTTCAAGACCAGTCTGGCCAACAAGGTGAAACCCTGTCTCTACCAAATATACAAAAATTAGCCAGGCATGGTGGCCCATGCCTGTAATCCCAGCTACTCAGGAGACTGAGGCAGGAGAACTGCTTGAACCCAGGAAGTGGAGGTTGCAGTGAGCCAAGATTACGCCACGGCATCCCAGCCTGGGCAACAGAGCAAGACTCCATCTCAAAAAAAAAAAAAAAAAATGTTCTCAAGAGGATTAGAACGGTTATTACAAGCTAAATGCTTAGACTTTTGCCAGGCATGTAGTAAATGCTAGAGAACGTTAGCTATAATGATGAGGAAGGTGACGACGATACGGAGGGTGGTAATAACTTTGGGGTGACTCCAGGGGTCTGTGATGGAGCACTACAAGGCATGACCAGGAAGTGTGGATTCCTCCAGAGGTAAGATGGCTTCTGCAGGACGTGGAAGGCAGAAAGCCCCAATTCATGGTCATATGAGTGAGACAGTCAGCACCTGCCCTTCCTGTGGCCCAACAGGGGGGCCTGGGTCCTCTTCTGTCCCTATCTCCATGATGCAGCCAGACTCTGTCTCTCCCAGGGTCTTGCCCATCACTTTTCCTGTCTTCCCTGCCTTCTCCTGCAATCCTCCCTGCTGTCTTCTCTCTGGAGCTGACACTCACCCTCACACCAACCAACAGCATTTCTACCTTTACGACTCTGTGTTCAAGCCAGGCATGTTGGTGCATGCCTGCGGTATCGGCTATTCAGGAGACTGAGGCAGCAGGATCTCTTGAGCCCAGGTGTTCAAGGCTGCAGTACGCTATGATTGTGTCTGTGAATTGCCACTGTGCTCCACCCTGGGCAACATAGCAAGACCCCAGCTTAGAAAAAAAAAAAAAAACTCCACCGGCTCATGCCTGTAATCCCAGCACTTTGGGAGGCTGAGGCAGGTGGATCACTTGAGGCCAGGCATTTGGGATCAGCCTGGCTAACATGGTGAAACCCTGTCTCTACTAAAAAAAAAAAAATTAGCCAGATGTGATGGAATGTGCCTGTAATTCGGCTACTTGGGAGGCTGAGGCACAAGAATTGCTTAAGCCTGGGAGGCAGAGGCTGCAGTAAACCAAGATCGTGCCACTGCACTCCAGCCTGAGTGATGGAGTGAGACCCTGTCTCAAACCCAAAGCAAACAAACAAATAAAAACTGTACCCTTAAGCTAGCAAAATAATAATTTTCAAAAGTAATTAAACCATATCGATGATGAGAAAATGGTAAATGTCAAGAAGAGTGAAATGGGAAGGAAAGAGGGAGCTGGGGAAACAGGGGAGAAGAAGGGTACAATTTAAAATAAGATGACCGATCTAGCATAGTGACTCACACCTGTAATTTCAGCACTTTAGGAAGTTAAGGTTGGCAGGTTGCTTGAGCCCAGTAGTTCAAGACCAGCCTGGGCAACATAGTCAGACCCCATTTCTACAAAAAATACAAAAATTAGCTGGGTGTGGTGATGTGGGCCTATAATCCCAGCTACTTAGAAGCCTGAGGCAAGAGGATGGAGTGAGCCTGGAAGGTCGAGGTTGCCGTGAGCTGTGATCATGTCACTGCACGTCAGCCTGGATGACAGAGCGAGACCTTGTCTCCAAATGAAAAAATAAAATAAAATGAAAAGAAAACCTTATGACCCTTGCAAGGGCTTTGGCTTTTTCCCCAGATCAGTTGAGTTTTAAGCAGAGGAACCACATGCTCGAATTGGTGTAGTTTTAAAGGACCCTTCTGGCTGCTGGTTTGAGACTAGGTAATAAGGAGTTAAGGCTGGGAATGGGGAGGAGCAGTTAGAAAGCCACTGGAAGAACCCAGGTGAGGAGGAGATGGCGCATGGGCCCTGGGGGGTGGTGCGGTGGTGTGGGATGTGCTAAGATCCATTCTGAAGGCAGCAATGAACCTGTTGCTGACGAGGGGTTAGAGGAAGGGGTCAAGAATGCCTCCCAGCTTCTTGTCTGAGTGACTGGAAGGATGGTGTTGTCATTTCCTGAGACAGGAAGGGCTGTGGAGGCACCGATGAAGGGCCGGAAGAGCTGGGTTTGGACCTGGAAAGTTGGAGATACCCGCTGAACCCCCAGGTGGAAACAATGAGTAGGTGGTTGCATCCAGGAGAGCAGGTGCTGGCTGGAGACAGAACACAGAAGTCCTGGATGCCAGGAGAAGAGACAGGCTCCAGGAAGGAGAGAGCAACCAGTTGTGCTGTTGGAAGGGGAACACTGAGAGTCGGCCATTGGGTTGGATCTGGGAGTTGCGTGTGACATTGTCGAGGGCAGCTTTGGTGAAGTGAGGGGTTGGGCAGCCTGCTGGCGGAAAAGGAAGAGATGGCAGGGAGAGTCAGTGTTTCAGGAGTTTCACTCTATGGGGAAGCATAGATGATGGCTGGAGGGGAGAGGGAAGGGATCAAGAGAGGAGTTTTTTAAATGGGAGAAATAACTCTATTTGCATGGTGATGAAAGTGATCCATGAGGGAGAGGGAAATTGGCAAAGCGATATTTGCACTAGATTGTATTCTGCTCTAGATGGTCGGAACATGGGTGATTTTTGTTTTCTCCTTGTGCTTTCCACTATTTTCCAAATTATCTAACATGAATATTTATTAATTTTGTAATCAGAAAAAAGCCATTAAAATCCACAGAGCTGATTGCTCAAGTGAAGCTTTTCCATGGTGACTCATCCTAGGGGGAAAAAAAAAACAACCAAAGGGCTGAAAAGAACGAGGAGGTGAAGAAAAATTAAATGCAAATAGAGCTCGCTTGGAATCAGATAATTTCTTGCCTGGCCCGCTGCAATTTCCTCACCACCCTCCTGCCTGTCAGTCTCTCCCTGGCCCTGTCCCCAACTCAACACTCTCACTGTCAGGGTGGGTTTTCTGAAATGCAAATCTGATCATGTCAAAGCACCTCCGGTGGGTCCCCCCTAGTTTTCAGGATAAAATCCTGACCTCATCTCATGGTGGAGGACACTCTTTGCAATGGGGTCTGGCCTCATCGCCAGTCGCGGTGGGGGCCCCCCTTCCTCTGGCCAGCCCCCCTCACCTGCTCTTCAGCACACCGTAATTACTGCCTTCTCAGAAGCACGGCGTGCAGTGCCTCTTGTATGCGCTTCCATAGCAACGGCCCTCACTCCATCAGCCACTCATCCACTCCATTGTAATCACCGATTTACTTCCCTCCATCCCCATCCCCCCCATCCCCCTCCACCCTCCATCTCCCCTGGATACAGGGCCAGGTTTTTATCTCTGTGTTTCTAGCCCCTTGCCCTATGTGCAGCACACAGTAGGTCACTCTGTGTCTGGGAGCGGAATGAATGGCCCTGCCTCATGTTTCTCAAGCATCCCTCTGATCACAGGGCAGAGGGAGGGAGAGATTCCAAAATCTCCCCTGCCTCTGGCAAAAGCGAAAACCAGCATCGAGGTTTTCCAGCCTGGTCCTGGCCACCAAACACGACCACTCCTCTTTCCTTTCTTCCTCCTAATGAATGTCCAGTAATTCCACTGACACTTATGAATCCCCAACAGAGCGGCAAGTCCTACCATAGGTGCTGGGGTAGAAAGATGGATGCGGAGCGTGGAGCTGGACCTTCACTGAGGGGAGGGGCCAGGGGAACAAAGACTGACATATGAATAACGTCGTGCCTGTCCTGAACACCCCAACAGAGCAAGTCATTCAGCAGACAACCACTAAGGGCCCACCCTGCAGGGGCATTGCCAAGTACTTGGCTGAGGAGATCCAGAAGACAGGGAGATATTGGACCCCTGCCTCTGTATCTGAAATACAAGACTGGACGCCAAAGCCTGAGGGGTGCGAAGCCCTTAGGTCCTGTTAGCAAATCTCAGCTTCCCTCCTCCTGGACCCCTCCCCATCATCAACCACAAATCCACACAACAGCCACCCCCAGCCCTGGCTCCCTCTAAACCAAAATATGATCATAAGTATGGCAGTGAGCACTTGATCATTGCAGGAAGAACGAGTTAGTGAAAATCCTGCCTGGCTGGATCAAGGCTAAGAGGTCACAGCATTTTCCTGAGAGGGAGGGCAAAGCGCTAGAGGGACTCGGGGCTGCAGATGTGGCGAGAGCCCTTGGGGGATAGTCAGAGGGGACTCTGGGGCCATCTCTGATGTGCAGAAATCAACAGAAAGTTTTTAGAGACCTCTGTGTATCTGTTTGCCAAATGCTGTGGAGTTCCCAGGGTGGGGCTGAACCAGGGAAATGGAAACTTCACAATAGAGGCCTGGGCTAAAAATGAGAATGAAGTTCTTTCTTTTGATGTGGTAGCCCCTTCTGTCTGTGGGAGTTGCCCCATTTTTGTTTGTAGGGGATTTAATTAGAGAACTATACCACCCCCACATGTTGAGCGGGAAACAGATGTGCCTGATGAGGGATAAAGGTCTTTGAAAGGACCGAAGTGCCCCAGCGCTGCACTCGCTCGCCTGGGAAAGGAATGCTGCCTAATGCGTTGATCCCTTGGCATGCGGTGTCAAGTGTGTGCACCCCGCCCAGGGAGGCTCTGTGTTCCCACACTCGGAGCCCTCAGGGGAGATTAGCGCCATACAACAAGGATGGGAATGAATCTTGATGGATACAGTTCCACAGGTACATAGCCAGCAGCAGCAGCTGCAGAAAGATGCAGCAGGTCGGGGTGGGGGAAACTTAACCAAGGAGTGGTACCCACAAAGATCTCTAGGAAGGAGGCTGTGCTACCACCACCTTTCAGGGGCTTTTGAGGATATTCCAGAAAATAGAACAATTGAAACAGAATTTTACAATGTTAAGAAAAGACGCAGGGAAAGCAGCAGGGAGACTGGGGTGTCCAGGATGAGGGCTACTTGCCCTACCCAAGAGTGGGTCTATCGCTGCTTCTCCCAAAACAGTTCCTCTGGGAGAATCCTGCCTGGGGAAGATGCCCCGTGCCGAGAGCCATACAGTGGAGGTCAGGGGAAGGAAGCCACACCAGTGCTTTCTCTGCTTCTTTCTGCGTTTCCCACTTCTCTAGAGTAAAGCAGTTCCCCCGGGTACTGGATGGCTGAGACACAGCAGGAACAGGAGGGAGCGATCAGATAAGCAAAGGAAGAAGCTATCCAGGGCACCTTCCCACGATGCCCCGGGAGAACCCAGCTGAACCCTCCCTCCTCCATTCTCCCCGCGCCTTTGCTGTTTGTTAGCTGCAAATCCGTCCCCAGGAGGACTCATCACAGGCACCCTCTCCACTCCCACATTGTGAGTGCTTCCCCCATGAACTCTGTCCTAGCTTCAGAGTCTTTCTGAGAAGCGTGTGGTTCACTTCCTTCCACAACATGTTCACAAATACACCGATGGAGACCCAAAAACAGCATGTCCACTTTTAGCCCTGAGGACATGTCCTCTATGCTGGCCCCACCCAGAAAGGGAGGCGGAAGGCAGTGCCCCAACGGGCGCAGGGCCTCACCTGGATGTCCTTTATCATGATGCTGTAAGCGAGGCCATGGGACTCCAGATAAGCTTTGATGTCTTTCAGTTCAGAGAATGGAACTCTCATATCCACAGGGAGGCTGGGTCTGGCTGGGCCACGCCAGAAGTCCACCTTGTTCACCAGGGACAGAGAGACAGGCGCATTGATTACTCCATGTCCTTCCACACCATCCTGTAGATGACCTCAGAGAACTAGTAGACCCTCTTTCTATGCAGGAGATGGGGACGGGGTGATGTCCCAAGGCCCCCAGCGGATGCCTGAAACAGCAGATAGTACCAACCCCTATATATACTATGTTCTTTCCTTATACATACAGACTTAGGATAAAGGTTTTCTTTTTTTCTTTTTTGGGGGGGGAGTGGGATGGGGGATGGAGTCTCACTCTGTCACCAGGCTGGAGTGCAGTGGTATGATCTCGGCTCACTACAACCTCCACCTCCCGGATTCAGGCAATTCTCCTGCCTCAGCCTCCTGAGTAGCTGGGATTTCAGGCACCCGCCACCATGCCCAGCTAATTTTTGTATTTGTA